TTATCTAAACTCATAATAAATAATAATTTTACAATTCAATTATAAAATATTTTAATCTTACTTTATATGGAGTAATGGAAGCTACCTAATCATAAAGTACTCATAGATATCCCTAACTATCCAGTGAAATAACCCAACTTCAAGCCTAATAGGTGGAATGAAGGTCTTTTATTTTAACTAAGTGATTGGAATCAGATCTATTTACGGATGGGGCGACTTGTCAGGTCTGTATGCTTGCTCGTTTTAGTCTGAACCCTGGATAAGATTTTCTCAATTAGGTTCCCGAAATGATTTCTTTTAATTTCAATTTTACAATATATTTAACAATATTAAAACGTTAATATAAATTTTTTAAATATTTTAATACTAAATAAAATTTAAATGTGGAGGCAGGCAAGAGCATGGACACCTCTAATCGGAATCTATGGATTCCTAATCATCAAGAAGTAAAGAAGCATCTTGGAGCTGGATAATCATAATTCATCTCAATAATTAGACTTGAACCCATTCTTTTATTATGTGCTAAAGTGGCTACTATAACATTTTAATAGCAACATCTTAATTAGTACTGTAAACAATATATCGGATTTAAATCCTTTTTCTCCATCCTTTTTTTAATTGTAGACATAAAAGTCAATGGACTTGAATTAAAACTTTTCCATTCTATAAAATTCTAACCTTCATTTGTAAGATTCATAATTAATTAAGACCTCTCAATTGAAATGATTAAGCTCCAACAATTAGACTATCCCATTGGTGACATCTTTTTCGCTAACTGAATTGTTGAAAAGGGGTCAAAACTTTTGAATGAATTACCATCCACCAAGCTTTTCAAATCCAAGTCATTGTAGCAATAGAAATGAATGACCCAAGGCCAATTTCTTGAGAGTGGGGTACTTTTCATATTTTCCCTGAATTATAATCATTTAAACGATGAAATAATTAACATAATCTTGGACTACGGAATCAACATGTGAAGCTGATTTTGAAACTCAAAGATTTCACGCCTTCTTTCTTAACATCAAGGTGATGCCTCTTCTTCTGTTTAACGTAATGTCGTTTTCTTTTCTTTTTTTTTTTCTGAAAACCAGGTGATATTATTTTTTTTTATAAATTAATTAATTTTATTTATCTACAACAATCCCAAATTAGTTATATGTATTTCCAATCAAATAAAGCACAAATTTTGTTGCCATGAGTATTGGCGCTTGATTTGGCCTTCATGAAAAGATATGACATCCTGACTAATTACAACCGTCCCAAAAAATTCTATCTTACAAATAATTATTGCTATTTATTGATTTGGTCTTCATTTCAATCAAATGATATTCTAACCACCATTAGGAATTACTTCTGTGTCATGCTTAAAAGTTTTTGTGAGCAAAAGATGTTAATCATCACATGAAATCGATTTT